TTCAAAGATTTTTCTGTGTTTTCTATTCTCTAAAGACATATTTTTTAAATAGAGGTTAGCATATAGCACAGCAAAACTTTTATTTTTCTTCACTAAGTATAGCAGTCTTAGCAAATACCCTTTCTTGTTTATAATTAATAGAGCCATTATGATAAATTGGTCTACAAAAGGATTTATAAACCAATCCATTATTTATTTTAGATTTCTAGTAATAAAAATGGTAAAGGAATTTGCTTAGTGCACAGTATGAGGTGCTTTGCATGCTGCATATACATAAAAATCCTTTAATAGTTGAAACCTTTTAATATTTCACTGGATGATGCACAAAGCACTTGACTAAATAGGATTGTCACTAAGTCATGTAACTCAACAGAAAAACAAACTGTACTAGCAGCTCTCATGAAAGAGACACACATAAAAAAGACATAATACATTTGCAATTCAATATTTTAAGAATTGATAAATCAAGTGGCAGGAAGAAAAGAATTACTAAAACACATTTATTATCTTCACCTAGAAAGTATTAGCTAATTCTAAAATCTATGCATATTAATTATTTAGTAATACATAAACGACTTCAATGTGAATTCGAGTTCAGCCACTTATTATCAGTCAGAACAATGTTAGGCTTAGTGACATTTTTCAGCTTACAACACTGATACATTACAACTTACAACTGCTGTACATTACTAATTAAGTTGATTTCCAGTTTGGTGCCATTGCATGTCATTAATTCCATTCCAGCCTGAAGCTTTGGCAAACCCAGTGGTGCAGTGCAAGGCATTCAAGCACAGGAGTGATCGACTGGCCCCAAGAGCTAACACGCTACCCAGGGACTCAACCCCTCTCACTATGCTGTTCCACCACAGACACCACTCATCCCCACAGGCTAGGCCTCAAGCAGAGGACCATGTCCTCCACTTTATTGCCTCTCCTCTGCAGTCCTCTGTGTATCCAGGAGAACCAAATTCTGCATCCCAGCACTGCTCTGGCCACAGAGATTTACCATGATGCTCTGTGCAATATGGGGAGAGCCCCGGTGCGCTCCTGCTCTGCTTCCACTGCACACTCACAGATAAATCAGACCCTAATGATGAGTGGCTGGTATTCAAAGCTGAGCAAACAAGCTAAAATGACAGGTGAAATTCCATCAATTTTCTCTGGAAATGCACAACTGTGCCAGGGATCATATGCCTGCAAGCTGGGAGAAATGACATTTCAGACTCATTCAGGAGAACTAAAAAGAAGGGAGGGAGTCCTACTGTAGAAAGAAGCAGTAGGATTTAATCTCTAGATACACTCAAATTCTTCTTCAAGACAAGTGATGTGAAAACTCCCCTCATGCTAGTTGCAACTAATTTCTATTCTTCATATACTTTCTAAAAGCTCAGAAAAGTACCTGGTCTCGTGGGTTAAAAATTGGGGCAATTTATGAACTTGGAGAAGTACCTAAATTAAAAAATGTCATGGAGAGTACCTCCACCCACTGATGTCTTTTCTGTCTGTAGAAGTATCTCCAGCCTGAGCAGACCCATCACTGTAATGGTACAGCATTGTGAGTATTTGTGAAAGGTCATAATTTTAAATTTTACTTGGCAGACATGTTACAGTAATTATCAAATGCTGAGGGAAGAAAAAAAAAAAAAAGAAAGAAAGGCCAGCAGTAGCCAGAAAAGTTAATTTAAGGGAATCAGTGAAAAATTACCTTTTAATTAAAACAAAAAGGTACAAGACCTTATAATATTACAGCTGTTACTGGGCAAAGCAAGCCTTTCTAAAGCTAAATTGCTCAGAGATTTTCAGGAACAATAGCTTGCATGTACAGCAAACACATCTGTCACCTGACTCAGAATTTCTGTGGGTTTTATTACATCTTTTAGATTTAGTCTGATACAAATGAATTTGTTGCAATACTCTTCATAAAATAATTTTTATTTTCTCTTACCTTAAAAAGACAACTGTTCAATAGACTATTCCACTTAACTAAATATTTCAAAATATCCTACTGTGAGACTTGCCTATATTTTCTTTCAAAATGGCTACAGAAACAGTTTGACTTAAGAAAACATGCTGTTGGTAATATGAGCTATGAAGAGCAACAGGGAGTAAATATTCAATGAGTAGTTAGGATATCAAAATGTCATTAAATAGCTGCATGATATGTTATTAAAATTATAAAAGACTTTTTAATAGAGTTCTTTGTGTGAGGATAGCTAGAGCTCATCTAAATTGGTAAATTTCATCAAGAGAGTTCTGTATACGTAATCTCCTCGAGTTGATTTACTGGAAAAAAACCCTACAGAAATACTTCAAATATATATAAATATTTTTCTCTTCCTTAAAACTATAATAATAGCTATGAATTTAAGAATACAAAGTATTTTCTCTCTTTTCTTTATCTGATTTATTCTGTATTTTTGCTAAAACTGTAGAGAAGATTAAATTTACTAAACTCAGCTTTACTTGGAAAAAAAATCTTGAAAACATTAATATTTTTCTTATTAAATCTTACTATTATTTAGTATTCTGTGTTTATATAATACTGTGACATTTTTCAAAATAGAAGACTTCTTTCTATAATTGTAATCATATAGCTGTCCTTTCACTTCATAACAGAATTTATGATTCAATAATTTACACAATATACTTATGAATATATTTTCTCCAGCCTACCTAACTAGTCTGCTTCAACTTTTTTTTTTCTTTAGTTCACTTCTGATTAGCTTAAGATAATGGCATAAGAGGTTTTGCAGAGAAAGAAGAGTTTCACAAAAATATAGCAGAAATATAACAAGATACACATCCTTATCAAGATATAACCTTTATCAAATACTGTTGCATTTCTTTCTCGCAATCATGAGTCTACAAGGGCTGCACGTGTATTACCTGTGAGGTGGCTGTTTAGTTCTCCACAGAAAAGTCCCTCAGTGAAGGAACAATAGTCCTTATGGAGAAGCCAGTTTTATAGAACAGTGACATGACAGATCAAGTCCCCAAGCCTGGCTTGTGCACCAGCAGCCCCAAAAGACAAGAGGCAGGGGACTAGCAGTCACTTCCTTTTAGTTATGGGGACTCCAGAAAAACAAAGAAGAATGGGAGAAGCCCACATATGAGTTCCCTGATTATTATATTTGAGGTTCAGTTAATTGGCCTAAAGAGAGGTATTGCCTTCTGCCATTTGAGATGCACAGGAAACCACTACTGGCCGCGGTGCCTCCTCATTCAGAAGGGCAGAGGCTTCTTCAAAGTCTTGTGCTACATCTTCAAAAGGCTCTTAAAACTTGTGTAAGATTCACTAGGACATAGGAAAAACAGCTTTGTAGACAGCTAGACTCTTCCCACAGCTCTCTTCAAGACCTTTGGTATTTTTGGTGGCACACACTCACCAATTACGTTTTTCTGGATTACCCTCGATCTGTAGCCTTCTTTAATGTGTCCTTACACTACAAGACAGGATACTAAACCAAGTAACTTAGTCACAGGCTTCATAATTTCAAAATTAAGAAAAGGTACCTTTAGCCAAATACAGTAGCCATTTGTAGCTGGAGGTCAGGTGCCCACAAAAGCGGCTCCATCACCCCCTTCCTTAGCTGGACAGAGGAAAGAAAATGCAGCAAGAGGCTTGTGGTTGAGAATAAGGACAAGGAGATATCACTCACCAGTTACCATCAGGAGCAAAACAGACTTGACTTGAGGAAATTTTTTTGATTTATTTCCAATCAAATCAGGGCAGGGAAATGAGAAATAAAACTTAAAAGCACCATTCCCCCACCCCTCCCTTCTTCTCTGGTTCAACTTCACTCACAAATTCTCTGTCTCCTCCCCTTGCAGCATTCACAGGACTGGGAATGGGGCCATGGTCAGTTCATCACACATTGTCTCTGCTGCTCCTTCCTGCTCAGGGGGAAACTTCTGACACTCTTACTCCAGTGTGCAGTACCCTCCCATGTGACACAATCCTCCATTAATTTCTCCCATGTGAGACAGGTCCATTTTGGAGCTGTTGGACACAGGAGAAGCTTCTAGCACACACAGGTTCTCACGGAAGCTACAGAATCCTGTCCCCACCCCCCAAAAACAGCAAAACCTGGCCACAAAAACCCGATAGAGAAGGTTTAATCCACAGCTTTACTTTCAAGATTTATATTTATCTCAAGGAGAGACTAAAATTTTCCTAAACTCTACATGATAAGCAAGAAAGTGGTGAAGACTAATGAATTCAGTTCTCTGCATATGTAATAAAAATTCCCTCATAGTCATAATCAAGCCATAGTTCAGCAAAGCATGTGCTGAACTTTAAATATTCAAATAATACACTTGAGCACATTATTAAAATTAAGTAAAATAAAATTAAATTAATAAATTTCCAGGGAGCTGATGATCTGGATTTATTAACTCTTTAAATGACTCAATTTTTCAGATTATATGTAGCTATTAAGCTATTTTAGCAAGATATAACCACACAGGATTGCCAGGTCATCAGTACAGAAAAAGGATTGGCTCGTTTAAGATTTCAAAGATATACATGTTAAAACTTAACACCATTAACACTAATTTTTTACATGGAGTTCTTTCACTTCCAGTAAGAAAATCAATGTTATTAAAATTCCTTTTAAATGCTTACCTTTATAACAAAATCACATATAATATATGCTATAAATCCAATGCTTATTTTGTATCTCAGTGTTTTGGGGGACAAAAATCACATTTTTGTCAGCAACAGACTGTGTAGCCATCACCATTGCTACAATGCCTGAAGATCTAAGTCTCTCAAATTAGCTGAGGAGACAGCAGCAGTGAAATTGCAGACAGCACAATCTGATACATTTTCATCAGTCTGCTGTGGAGAAAATATATCCCTGTATGTTTACTGAGCTGTTTTTTCTGCTTCAGGATCTTAGGATTCAAAGCAGATTTAAAAATGCTCCATATTTTAATGAGATCATTATTAATAGTTCATCTTCTCGCTTCCTAGAATACTAAATTTCCAACAGCTATAGGCAAAGGCAATGTGAAGATGGCCATCACAATTGCTTTGCAATGGATTCTGGCAACTTCCCCAAGCATCTTTGTTCTCCCATGACTGCACAGCTTAAGCAACCCAATCTGGTCTTGGTAAGGACTCTACATTATAATTTCCAAATAATTTTTTGCATTATCTTGTTCAGTGAATCTAATGCATGTTTTTTTTTCGAACAGGCAAACCACCAAACCTAAAAAAAGAACCAAAAAAAGTCTCCCATATTTGGTTTACTCCAACTTTCTCACAGTGATGTAAGTTTTCATGCTGTCTGAAGCCATACAAAGGCAGAAGTGAATTGGAAGCTGCTTTGACCTCAGGAGCCTGGTGGTATGCAGCATTAGCCCATTTGAAAAGAGAATCAGTCTTAAACTGGAGTCAGCCACACTGTGTGCTTGTAGACTGGAGGATGTGATTGTAAGCATGAGAAATACACTGGTCAAAATCATTATTCTCTAAATGCAGAAAGTAAGAAGATGAAAATTGGTAGCTAATGTAAAGTAATGTAAAGTAAAGTGTAGTTCATATCAAATGTGGACAAATGCAGGGCCAGATTTTTAAGAGAGCGGGACTTAAAAAAAAAAAAAAGAAAAAGAAACAAAAAAGGAATATGTAAATAGCATCTAGAGCCTTTTAATATGATTTTAGAGATGCTTGAACAACCTACATCCTGAAATTAGAATTTTTCCTTCCCAAACATCAGAAATTATATAAAATCAGCATTAGCTACAACTGGAAAACATTCCCAGTTAATACTAACACATTAAATAAGAAATCAAGAGCTTCAAACTTATACTGAACAAGATTAACCTTGAGCATCCATGGCAACAGCAGAGTCCAGTGCAGCACCCGCTGTGTTCTGCAGCGAGGCAGCTTTCTCTTCAATCTCAAAATACTACTTTATATCATTTTTCTTCATAATCTCTCCAAGAATTCAGCTGAAATTAATTCCCAGGTAATCCAAAATCCTTTAGTACACAGTTATGTAAGGCACTTTTTATGTACAGATTGTATCTGGATAGAATTCTGATACTTTCCTCTCCCCTAAGTCCAGTCACAGCTCCTGAGTGACCTCTCCTATGGTGTCATTCTGGCAGGCTTGTTATCTTTCCCATGTGTGTGCCAGCTGGACTCAATTATTTATCTGCAAGGCCTCCTAGTTGCTGGCTGGTACCATTCCCCAGGCACGAGAAACCAGCAACCTCCACCCAGGGCTGTGCAGAGCAGGACCCAGCTCCAGTTCCCAGACCCTCTGCTGCCCCACTCCATTACACAATGGAAAGGGAATCCACCAGAAATCCCCAAATGCTGTTTTGCAAGGAGGGCTGGAGAGCAAGGCATAATCACAAGAAAGTGAATGACAAGGAATACAGAAACAAGTTCTAAGACAAATTTCCAAGTTCAGCCAAAAGGTAAATTCCTCAACAGAAATGCTAAACCCCATGGCATCCGAACAAATACTTTATTCTCTGACCACAGAACAACACCTTAGATTAGGCCTTAATTGAGATTAATGGGGCATAGTCTATCTCTCTTGTTTTTTGCACCTCATCTGGAATCAGGGAAGCCATCTCATCTGTCTGATTGCAATGAAAGCAAATTGTTATAGTCATCTTTTAAATCATAAAGAGTTAGTTAGTCTTTCTAAAGAGAACTTGAGATTCTCCTCTAAAGAAAGGTAAAATAAACATGAAATTTATACATTTTTTGTATGCTATAGCTGCTATTCAGAAAACATAGCAGAAATAGAAAATAATAAAAGCAGTACAGAGACAGTATTTCAGCTGGCCTTACTTTTTAGGTATAGCTATTTAAAAAAGTTTCAATACATTTTTGGCTTACAAATGCTGAGGTTATAAGATATTCAAGATCAGTTAAGTGAAACCCATTCCCTACAACTCTATGTTTATTTAAAGTTTTCGCTAGCATGTATCATGGCATTGCTATCAACACTTCTTAATCCCTAATACTCACTTCAGAAAATGCTAATCCAAGCCCTCAAGCTAATGAAAATGCTACACAGGTTGTTCTTCAAAATATACATACACAGAAATTGAGACATTATTTTTCAAATCAACAACTTTCTCAAAGGTGTGCCAATCAAAAAGTTGAGTTTCTACTTACCATTCCTTAATACTCATTTACATAATAACAAAACACATGAAAAATACTCCTTTTCTTGAGAACCATAGACATGAAGCTACTAAGAAAAAGATGTCAGAATGTTCATTAATTCAAATTGCATCTTAATTTAACAAAATTTATTGCTCCTACAGAAACAAGGTTGAGCCTATTTGATTATTATAATTTTAGATTTCTTACTTAGAACTAGATCAAAATTAATTCTTATTTAATGAGGTTTTTGAAAAGTGTTTAAAATAGCAAAATTCTGAAATATGCTCATTAGAACTATTTGTAAGTAATTAAAAATGATAGCTTTTAAATAACTTGTGATTGGATCCTAAAGCCATGTCAGAAATAGTGCTCAGATGACAGGCTGTCACATAAATTTAAGCTTGATACATGAGCCCTGTTGATCACTAAATAGTGAACATTTTATTATTCTCTTGAAAAAAAATGAAGTTAAAATTTCACGATTACTTTTTCCTTTCTTTTTCCTCCTACTTCATGACATCTAGGTCATTGACGTTATCTTGCTGAACACTAGAAAATCATTCATTACTTAGTCTGTGCCTCCAGTTTTTCCATCATATGCCACTGTTACAATGTAAGAGAGACATAAATTGAACAGAAAAGGTAACCAATTGCTTATGCAAATGTAATTTTTTTGTTTGACAGAGACACTAACATGATGAGCTATGGCATTTTTGTGTAAAATCCTTTTTGGATCTGGAGTGTGTCACATTCCATCACTCAGGAGTCAACATTTTGCTCATGACCTTGCACCCATAGGGAAAGCTTGGGTGTGAGCTTTTGTTTTCTTTTGCTATTTTAAGAGTTTGGCAAGGATTACAGTAAATATTTTGAAGACTTCTCGGCCTTCAAAGTGAAGTATAAAAACTGTCTTAAAAAAAGAAGTGCCCTTTATTTTTCATAAATAAGCCACTTGAAGTGCAGAGTGTTTGAAAACGCGTTGGCAAACAGAAACATCTTTCTTTGCTATTCTGCAGAAAGCCAGTTCGATGACAATAAAATAAATTAAAAGTCAAATTAAAAATAAGAGTATCTTTATTCAACAAACCAGAGTCAGTGGTAGAAGTAAAACCTATATTTTTTTTCATAATTTCTTGATTGTTATAATAATGTTTAAGGCTTTTTAAGAGATTAGTTCTTAGTTCATTGATTTTTCCTGCAGAAAACAAAGCTGACCAGGACTAATTATGTATATATATGTGTGTACTCATGTGTGTATTTATTTTATTTTTAAGTAATGATACATATTGCATATAAAAAGCCACAGTCAACCATAAATTTCTTAATGTCTTATTTTCAGGTATAATTTGAACATCAACTGGAGCCTGGAACCTGTCCTCAAACTGATTAGTAACTTACTTGAAAGCTTGTTGCCATAATTTGAGAGGACTATTCCTGTAAACCAGGGCTATTGCTTGACCCTAAGATGTATTTAATTTACACTGCAAAATGAGAGTGAAAAAAAAATAAAAGAAAGCAACAGCAGATTTATTGAAGATTGTAAAACGTGTATGTCAAACTTCACCTCTTGAATCTTGCAGGTTTCAAATATTAATTTATAGAACGGTGTGAGAAACAAGGTTTAAAAGTATTATTATTCTGATATAACTAGATGACAATCTAGTCAATTGCACTACATTGTGCTTTTGATGAGGACTATTATTTCCAACAGTCATAATATGTAACAATGCCACAGCTTGTCATGATTTATCTGAAAAACATGAAAGCATACAAGAAATACATAGATTTATGAATGCCACCATTACACAGGCACTGTTTTTCATGGTACTTACTGAACTGCTTTTGTAAACCTGGTCTGATTCATAGGGGTGAAAAAGGAGAAAAATATTTAGAGAAATTCTATGTTTTCCAAGGGAAAAAAACTCAAACCAAACCTCAAATATTTTTTATTATAGAAGTGTGAATGCTACTAAAAAAATTATTTTCAGCATTAAAAAGTGCCACTGACCTAACGAACTTGTTTGGAGAACTTGTTTATCTAACAGAACAAAGCCTTATGCAAATAAGGAGAAATGCTTGCTCTCTCCAAAATTTCTAAATGTCCTGTCCCTTTATGAAGACAAGATACAAACAATGAGCAGTGAATTGCCTCACAGGCATTACACTCAGACAACTATTAGAATATAGTGCAGACTACTGTAAAATTTACAAGACTGACACAGAGCTGATTAGATTTAAGGGATATAATTGCATTTGATTTAATAGACATTGCATTTAGCCTTATTGGTATGTTCCAATGTCTAAAGCATATGGACAAATACCCACAAAAGGAATTATATGCAGACCCTTATTCAGAGCTCTTTGAGTGGATGAAGTGATAGATTCCAATATTTTTAGCACTATCATCTTCGGCTTACACTGTTGCATTTTTTCCTAATTCAAGGATACTTGTCTTTACACAGGAAAAATTCCCTAGCCATCACCAGAGAATGATTTCAAGTAATTCCTCTGTATTTAGAATATATGTTTCAGTCTTGCCTTCTTTAGAAATTTCCTACACAAACATCTCTCTGGCCCAAAAAGATGTAATGGCATGCAGGAGGAATAATAAATGAAATACCTTAGGTATTTTGATAGCCTAAATTAACTACATGTTCTAGAATGAGACATCAGAAAAATATTGATTCAAGCTGGTAATTAAAATTTTTGATCAAGTGCTCTGATTCCCAAACAGAGAGAGACAAACATGAAAGAGCAGTGATTACTGTTGAGGTATTAACCTTATTTGGAGAAGTTTAAAATGTATATTAAAGTTAGAAATTTAAAGTTATAATATTGCGTTTGAGAAAACATTTAGAACTAAGACCTGAAGTTAAATGAAGACTGATTGAATTGTTTGTTTACTAGACCTTCTCTAAACATTCTCCTGAAATCCCACGGATTCTCTCATTTAAATTAGTAGCCCAAAATGAAAATCATGCTAAGCTCTGTAGACAACCAGTGAAAAGAGAGGACCTTGACATTGTGATGTAGATGAGTAGTAAGTTGTGTTTTCCCCATTTCTCTCCTTTGACTTTAGAGGGAAGCTAGGCAACTGTGCTATTAATTTGGGTGTCTCTGCTCAGGGCTTATGATTAGATTAAAAGAATCTGGGCTTCTATATTGACTTTAAAAAATCATGTAATGTTCTCCATTAAAATCTATCTGTTCAAAAGATATCCTTGAAATAAATGCAAGGCATCATCTGCTGTTAAATTACCTTTCTAAATTACTTGGTGCTAAATTTAGAGAGGACAACAGCAAAGCTCCCTTCACTGGCCCAGAACCTGCATACACTAACTGATACTGCATTTCCCAGTTTAACAAATGATTTGTAAGGTTTTTTCTTCCTCAGAAAATTGTCAGAAGTCCTTCTTTTTATACTGCAATGCTAAAGGAGAGCAGCAAATAACTGCAGGTCAATTACTGAGCATAGGGGTTACAGGGTTTGAAATCTTAGTGACCTTGAGTGGAATCAGGTTCCAAATGAAATTTGTTAAATACCATTATGTTACATGACAACTCTGGGAGTCAGGGAATAAGAGAATTGCAGAGCCAAAGTCCCTTGAGGCAGTCTGATAAAATGTAGCAAAACCTGTCTAAATAACACATTTGTTACATCTAGTTTTGTTGCTTTAAAATGGTTTGCTCAGGAAGCTGCTAAACTCAGAGGAAGAAATCACCTCATCTCAGCCATCACAAAGGCATTGTTGTATACTGGCTCTGTTCTAACCATGGCAACACACAGCCACCAAAAAAAAAAAAAAAAATTAAAAATAATTTAAAATCTGTGATGCAAAACTAGATTAAAAGTATTTATTTCAGAATTAAAGCATAACACATTAAACCCAAAGATTTCTTGGCTGGTATTTCATCGCATAATTTTTTCTTTTTAAGAACTCTTAATTTAGCCTCAGTTCCTAGATTTTCCTTTTTAGATTCCACTTCTAGTGCAGTAGATATGCCATGTTTTCTCTATGGAACTACATCTGAAATGAGTCAGTCACTCTATACTACTCACAGTCGAAAGAACTTCATCTAAAAGTACCTTCAAATTGAATCTTTTGTGTGAAGCCTGAGCAATCTGCAGTCAGTGAAGAATAAAAATATATTGAGGACTCACTGCCAGAGATGCAATCGTGAGATGCAGAAATAATTGTTAGAAAATATCAGAAGATGGTGTGCTAGTGAAAATCTGAGTTTTGTCTGCTTTTAGAAGATTCTGTGTATCCAACCTACATACTTACTTTACTGTCCAATGTGCATGGATAGTAAAAGAGGTATCATATACAAAATTAATCAAGAACTGTTCCAACATAAAATAAATAATAAAATAAAATAAAATATCTGAGTTTTAACAAAAAAGATAAAGCTAATAATGATTTATTTTTCTTTCATTTTTACATACAAGATAAAGTCCAGTTCCTAGATGACAATTGAGCCTAGTTTTACCCCTGACTAATTAACATGCAATGCTTATAGTCATTTATGGTTGTAAATATTATATTAGTTCCTATTAAGGTAATAGGGATTATAGGTTTAATTTTTCACAGGTTTAAATAAACTTGAGGTTTATATTTTTAGTCTGAAATAGGAAAAAAAGAAAAATAAAGAAAAAAATAAGTTATACTGAAGAATTTGTGCTGGAGCTTTGTTTCTGCAGGTAGATGACTATTTTCTCTGAAAAGCAGCATCTCTGAGATAATTTTCTTGCATTTTATGCTTTTCCATGAAGTATAGAAGAATCCACACTGGCTGCCTATGTTATTTTGCAGGAGTCACCATTGTTTTTAGAAGCAGACTGAAGTAAGGAAAATTGAATCAACCAAGCAGTCACTTGGTGCCACTATAGACTTGCCCAAGGTATAAAGGAGAGTCAACATGAAAATTATTTAGAGAGATAAAGGAGGTAAAAAAGTATGAGGTCACTATTTCTATGAAAATAACTTTGATCAATCAGATCAGCAATCGAGAATTTTACAGCTGACTGGAACAAATGAAGTTCCTATAATACTGTAGCCTTTCCAACTGAAGATCAAGAAATGTCATGTGTTTACTGTTTTACTACTAAGTCAATACTATACCTTAAAATTCAACCTCCAACTTCCCCCCTCCAAAAAAATTAAATAATTCCATCTAATAAATTACCAACCTTAATATCTACAGAAATTGCAGCATTTTTTGAAAAGTACTGAGAATTAAGACATTAAAGCCTGTAGACAGGCTGGCGCTGCTGGCACTGTTAAAAAGATCCAGTGCAGGTCATCAGAGTTTCTCAGCTGGGGAAGCTGCAACTTTTTGCGAAGATTAGACTTAGATTAGACTGCACAGCAAGGCATCTCTCACTGCACATGCATCAGGGACTACTGTCTTTAACAGTGTTTTTCATCTCTTCAAGGAGACACTAATTTTAGGATACTTTAGAAATGCTGTTCCATCTGTGAATTAAATGGCACTTCATATCTTACCAACACCAAGAACTAAGTAGAAGTCACCTTCACTTTTTCTCTTCCTATTTAATGTTAATTTTGCTGCAAGAAGCATGTAATCTACAGCTTTCTTGTTGTGCCTGGCCATTTAAATTTTTGATCCCTTTTTAATACACTGTAATAATCAGTCTATAAAGTCCAATTACTCAGGGTAAAAATGACTGGCATCTCTAGACTCAACAAACACCGGCTTAACAAAATGTATGACTGTGAACTCTATAATTTTCTGTGTAAATCCATATCTCCCATTCTCATATTGTCCCAGCTTGTATCTTCACTGGCAACACAGCTTTGCTCTTATAGGCAGGAAAATTTAACAACAAATTACAGAGCATGTGAATGCATAAATCATTGCATGAGTATTAAAAATAAAAGTGGAAGTAATCTGCTATTAGGGGGAAAATGTTTAAACAACTTTACATATCACTTCTCCAAGAAGAACCCTGGAAAATTTTGTGTGACTGGATTAAACAAACCTTCAGTTTCATGTAAATTCTGAATGTCCCAGAAACATTAGTAAAATCATTAATTTCTAGTAAACAAGGACAAGACATTAGTGATATAATCACTTAAGATATAAACTAAAGCTAGGATTAGGAAAAAAAAACAATTGTATTCTCCATTTATCTCATATTTTGCTTTTATATGAGTCATTGTACTATGTAACTTTCCAAACCAATTTTAAGTTTTATAAATAAGGCACTGTTTCAGTAGATTTGCTAAATTCAAATTCAGAATCTTTATGATAAGGATGTTCTATGTGTAAAAAGATGCTCCACTAGAAATGTGTACTTAAAATACCTAGAATATTACATCTCTCATGGCTTTACCTGAGGCAGGAAAAAAGTAGCTTTTACACTGGGTAAGTCATAAAGTATTATGAAATGCACTATATTAAGAATTATAGAAAACATTAGTATTTTATGTTTTTATTTTAAACGATCATGCAAAGTTAAAAGCACC